CAGACTGTCTGAGCTCTGTTTGCTTTTGATGAAGCCCCTGTATATAATACTTCACGAAGACACTACTTTGGGCAACAGGTTAATTGGTGCCTGTGGGAAGCTTGTGTCTTATGATTTTTCCACCTATTACCAGTCAACCTACCTGCCCATAGTTGTCTATGCCAGTTACTAATCTATTTAAGTTTAATAAATCAAAAGCTGTTCTTAGGGACTGGCCAAGAGTTGTAAGTCCTTCAGCCTGAAGGTTTTTCAGTTCATTCATGAACGTCGCATGGTTTTCCTTCCAGCCAGCCTGAAAAGAGAAACGCGAGAAGGCTTATTGGTGGGACGAGCTCGGGACAGGAGCCTCCTACGGGATCGAGCTTTTCTGTTGGCTAGAGCATCTCCCTTTAACGCTAAGAGAACACCTCAGAAGTTACCAATATTCAGTATCACGAGGAAAAGACGGACTTAACACTCCGCGCTCATCGAGTATTTGTTAGAAGGGACGGGTTTCTGCGAAGCCACACACACAGACACGAAGGTACCTCCACACAGGGCTCGCGACCCCCGCAAGGCGATGCCCAGCGGCTTCAACCCCCGCGTCCCGCAGCCCCCGCCCCCGGAGGGTTCTCCTCTCCCGCCCCTTCCCCGCCGAACTCTCCTCGGACTTGCTGTCACTTCTCCCAACTTAAGCACACCTCCCCCACAGTTCAGTGCCGCTCACACACACCACACGGGGAATATAAAAAAAAAAAAATGTCGGCCATGTTGATGTCAGCGCCGCCGCCGCCGCTGCCCGAACCCGTGCGTGCGCGGCGCCGCGCGGCCCGGCCCGACCGAGGGGGCGGCGCGGCGGGGCAGGAAGGAGGGCCGGGGGGCGGCGGGAAGGGAGGGGGGAGTGGGGTTACCTTGATGGCGTACGGAGGCTCCTCGAAAGTGACCAGCATGTACCTGTCTCCCCTGCTGGCCGGGTCCCGGGCTCGGAGCTGCGGCGCGGGGACAAAGCGGAGGGTGAGGCGAGAGGAGGCGCCGGAACCCCCTCGGCGCGGCGCGGCGCTGCCCCCCCCCCCCCCCCCCCCCGTCTCCCCCGCAGCCCCCCGCGCCCCCGGCCCGCAGCCCCCCGCCGCCCCCTCCCCTCTCGCTCGCTCTCGCCTCCTCTCGCCAGGCAGCGCCGGTACCTTCATGAAAGTCTCTACAGCGCCTTTGGCTATGTCCAGATAGGTGGTGCCCAGATGGGTGCGCTGGTTCATGGAGGCGGACGTGTCTATCAGGAAGAGTAAGATGGGCATAGTGCGGAGGGGCCGGCGGCCGGGCGGCTACATGGACAGCGGGCGGGAGGGAGAGGGGAGGCAGAGGGGAGAGCGAGGGGAAGAGGAGGAAGAGAGGCAGCCGGGGTCGGGAGAGGAGCGAGTGGCTGTGAGTGCTGTGCACGGGAAGGGCCTCCCGCTGCCCCTCTGCCGAGGCGGGGGAAGGGGGCAGCGCTGCCTGCCCTGCCCTCCTTTGTGTGAGGGGCCTGCCCAGCCCGGCACGGGCCGGGTGCTGCGGGAGCGGCGGGGAGGGCTGCGCTGCTGCTAATCTTCCCCCCCGCCACCACCGTCCTCCTCCACCGCCGCCCGCCCTCCCCTCCCCCTGTTGATGTTACTCAGAAGTTTCGGGCGGACCAGCCGCAACCCGACCGCCCCGGCACTTTCTCTCTCTGACTGAGGCGCTTCCTCGCTCGCCGCCCGCTTTTAAGGGCGCCTGGGCAGGTCGGGGCCCGCCCCCGAAGGACACGTCCCCGCCCCACGTGACCGCCTCCCGGCCCCGCCATAGGGCTTCTGGCGGCCGCTCTATTAGCATATTCAAATCGCCGGGGGAGGGCGGGGCAGCGCGGGGGGGGGTTGGCTGGAGCCGCTGTGGGAGAGGGCGGTGGGGGAGCGCGCGTCCGAGCGCCGCTGCCGCGCATGCGCAGTGGCGGTGGGGTGAGGGGGGTGACAGAGGCGGCGATCGGGGGGCGCCGCTCCTCCGAAAATGGCGGGAGGGGGCGCCCCTCTGCCGGGCTCCGGGCGGACAGCGCCCCGTCGAGGGGCTGCGGCCGTGGGAGGGAGCCCGGCTGGGGCCAGGGCGGGGGACGGCGGTCGCCAGGGTGGCGGGGTTGGCCCGGGGGACCGCAGCCCAGCGGGGAGGGGACGGCGGCGGTTTGTCCCCGCGGGTGAGTCACGGTGAGGGGGGAGAAGGGGCGGGCGTTGCCGCCGCCGCTCTCCTCGAGGCCGCGGGAACGTCCCCGCGCGGAGCGGAGTCCCCTCCTGCCCCGGGGTGGGGGCCGAGGGTCGGCGCGTTGATCCCATTCCAGCTCAGCCCCTCCAGGCCGTCGTTCGGCCGTTGCTTGCGCTCGTCGCCCTCCGAGGCGTGAAGGGCGGTGCTCTCCGTTTTATTTTCGAGGGGGTTGGCGGGGTCCTGCACAGCGCTCAGAGCCCCGGACCGCCCTGCGGGCTGTGAGGGGACGCCGGGAGCCCGGGCACGGACCCGCGGGGCTCAGAGCCGGGCTCGTCGTGTGGTGAATTCCCAGAGACCCGCTCTGGTCTTTCACTTGGTGGAAAAATAAAGAAAAAAAAAAAAAGATTAAAAAAAAAAAAAAATTGGCTGCCCTTAGCTGTGACCTTTTCCCTACGCGCAGGCAGAGTTTAACACCGGTGTCCCCTTGATCCGTGCTCGGGCACTCCGAATTTACTTCCTATAAATCGCATCACTGTAGAGTGTTTCCAGCCAATTAATGCCTAAGATTGAGCTCTCCGTCCTTCGGAGGTTTCTGTTTGTTTTTCCCCACAATTGTGCCTGTGCCTTTCCTGCTCTCCCAGCCTCGGAGAGCTGACTCCAGAGCCATTTCTGAACATAATCTGTTCAGGAGATTGCTCTGCTTCCTCTCTGGCTGATGTTTTCCCCTGATCCAGCTGATGTGCTCCCACAGCCCCTGCTCTAGAAGGTACGAAGCCACTGTACTCCTTCTCTCAAGATAAAATTGGCAGTGTCCTGGTTTGAATCATTTCATTCTTCCAGGCAACATTTCTGTCTTGTTAGGCAAGAGCTGTTTTTGGCTTTTTTTTTTTTTTTTTTTTTTTTTTTTTTTTTAAGACTAATGAAATATTAGCATTTAGTTTCTAGGAAGGCTGGAAAGACAGAGGAGAAATCACATTTCCATTACAGGTTTATATACGTCCTTATTGCTGTGAATAGATATTTTGGCTTTCCTACTGGCACCTGTGACCTGTGCCATCCATCCCGAGGCACTGGGGCAGCGTCAGGGATATTGTCTTTTATCCTGGTTGCTGCTAGGAGCCACTAAGGAATCTCCAGCCTATAAGATCTGTGAAGGAACTTTCATGTTTAGAGTGGAGGGCTAATGAAGTTTGGCAACTATGTTTCTTCTATGGTAACAGCCTGTGTCATGAATATTTTTCAGCCTAGTAAGAATGGCCAAGCTTGTCTGTACTCGCTGATTCCCGAGCTGCTTGTTTCTTTCCAGCCATTCATTTTCAAAGCTCTAGTAGCAGTCCTGCGTCTTGTGACCAACTGCAAGGCTGTTCTGGTCTGGGTTCTACTGATAAACCCAAACCTCTGCTTTTAGGGGAAGTGAACCAGAAGATGCTGCCAAGGCATGTTGCTGGGTTGCTCTGGAATCAGTTGTATGCCAGGCCCCATTATGCAGTTAAAACCTCTGGACTACTGGAAAGACTTGGTTCACAATCTTTTTGTGTCCACAGCTGTATTTTGGGATGTCCTTCTTCCTTTCAGCTCTCCACAGACAGTTGTGTGCATCACCTGGTTCTCTGTCAGGTGTGCAGCTCCTGAGGTCAGCAGGATTGGCTGCTGTGAGGCTGGTGATCATCTCCCTGAGATGGTGGGATTCAAGTTAACTGAAGGCCGTAATGCTGCTTTAACAAATCATGCCTTGGGATTAGTAGCTTCACTTGGGAGTCAAGTTGACTGAGTGTATGATGTTGGTCTCTTAATTGGCTTTCTTTTAAATCTCTTACAGGCACGTTCTTCAGACATGCCATCTTCTCTCCTATTTGTGTATCAGTGATGTTTCATTGACTGTCCTAATAAAAGACCACTTATTTTACGTGTCAAGCATCCATTTTCTTGGAGAGCATTCTAAAAATGGAAAGCTTCTGGGAGGTAGCCTTCTGCGAACTGCAGGGGGAAACAAAATTAAAAAAAAAAAAAAAAAAAAAGTAAGGCATTTTAGAATACTTGCCATACCAGGAAAACATGAAAGGCAGCCTGGGACATGGAGACTCTGTGCAAGGCCTGGAAGGTCATTTGGAATTTTTATTTTTGTTGCCAGTAAATGAAAGAGTGTGCGTGGGGGTAGGGAGTGAAAGACGTATTAACTGTTAGTAGCAGAGTCAGTCATAAAATAGCAAGAATTCTGAATTGACTTTGAAAGTGGAAGCAATAGGTACACTGTGTTTTCCTTACCAACATGAGAAGAAGGTGGGACTGGAGCATCTGGGCTTACTCTGCCCTGGTCTGCTCAGCCCCACTGATCATCACTGATAAAAGAATCCCACAGACAAAACTCACGCAGCTCCAATGGGATTTATACAAGCAGAAATACTTTGTGAATTCTGTACATGCTTTCTTTTTGCTATTATCTTTGAAGCCATTTGGAACATTGAGTTCTTTCTGTGCATGTTATATTAGAACCATATTAGATCCCCTATAGGGCAGAATGAAGGGTAGTTTTGTGTTGTCTGTAGTAGGCATTACTTTTCTGCTGGGAGCTGGCCAATTTGATTAATATTGAGAAAGATTCTTTCAAAGATAATCAACCCAAGCCTAAGTGTGTATCAGCCTCTTGATGTGAGAGCCATAATGGCTAGTGCTGCCATCAGAGCCACATTTATAAATCTGTACAAGGGACTTGCTATGAAGGAACAAAACCTAGTGATATTAGTGCTTATGCTCATTACTGATACAGCTGATGCAGCTGAGCAGCAAGAGTGTGAAACTACCACTGAAAATAGATGCATCTTTCTTTGATTTAAGCCCTTCTACATGATGGGCAGAATTATACCCCACGTACAGGCTAAATGAGCTTGTTCTAGCTTTTCTCCTAAATCTAGGTGAATTAATTCAGCATGGTTCTGTCTGAAGGAATAATCTTGTTGTACCAATAATGAAAACAATTCCAGCTTCTTTCGTTCACAGTTTTTGTTTATTATTTTTCATGCATCCATAGGGGATTATGAGAGTACATCCATATCTAAGAATACTCATGTACTCATCTTCAGAGTGGGCATTGTCCATCTGAGGACAAACAGAGCAGTATTAAAAGTGCAACTTTCAGTTAAAATTGAAATGCTAGCACTGTAAAGCAAAATATAAATACGAGTATGAGTATAAAATATGAGCCGGAAAATATAACTATTTAAAAATAAAAAAGGCTTTTGATATACTGTTACTGTTTTGTTTGTTTGTTTGTTTGTTTGTTTCTCTTTTCCTTGAAGGTAAACAACTTCTCCCAGTGAATATTCACTGAATTTTTGTTATATTATCAGAGTGTTAGGCTTATTTTGTCCTAAACCACAGGCTTGAAGTACAACTGGCAGTTAAACTTTAATATTTTATGTGTTTATTTGTTTATTTTAAATTGCCTTTCTCCTCCTGTACACAGAACAATTTCACAAAGATGTGAAGATCTTGGTCTGCTCAGGTTTTAATGACACAGGTAGATTTTTCAGAGCTTCCATTAAAATCCCATTCCATAGCCTTGTAATTTGTCATCTCCACACTTTTTTTTTCACAATTGGAAGTTTTAATTTTTCCATTGCTTGGTTTGATGCTCATCACTAAAACATATATCCCTGTATAGCATTCTGAGTTTTAGTGCTTGCATCATATTCCCTTTAGTCTTCCTTTAGTCAAGCTCTGTGCATTTGGTTTATTTGCTTTATTTATAAATAAAATGATATTTTCCACTTGTCCTGAACTTGACTACATGGGAACTTATATTGTTAGATGGATTGTTTTTCTCTATTTTATATTCAGTGATTTTTTTACCTTACTCTTTTTTTTCTCTCTGTTCCTGAAATTGTTCCCAAAGAGAAACTGTAATTCAGGTAACTATAAAGCTCTGAGAAGGCTCAGATAAGATGTTATCCCTAACATTTTTTCAGAAAAGTGACATTAAGATAATTTGATCTCAGTTTTTTATCTATACTCTAGGACTTTGACCAAGAATGCCTATTTTTCTAAATTTTGCAGAGGCAGCTGTCTGCCTTCAAGACTGTCTGGCACCTTTTAGAAGCCTGTACTTTAGCTTTCCCAGCACAGTGAAACTACGCCACTCTGCAGAATGATGACCCCTAGAAGAAGTTGCATTCTGGCTTCTCTTGGCCCATTTTCAAACACAGCTTCATTTTCAGTGCTTGTGGATCGGGAAGCCCAGAGGATAGCTCTTGAAGCTTCCTAGGGATTTTTGTACTCCCCACCACTACTTCATTCATCCAAATCCCTTGCTGTTTCCTGGCTCAATAGCTCGGAGCACAGAGAACACAAGTTTGCCATCCAGGGGTAGAATAGTTAATGTGGAATTTCAAGGAAATTGGGGTTAGGATGGTTTGAAATAGATTGTTTTCTAACTGTCCAGACTGAATGTGGGCACCAAGAGATGAAGTTCATGAATATTTGTGAAGTACTTAAGCTTTTCAAAAGTGCGTTGTGATGGAAGTGCATAGTAAGATTATTTTCTGAGGAAAAACTAATCTCTTTGAGGACCATCTGTGCTGTGACAGTGGAAGTCAGTCAATTAATGATGGAAAGGTTTTAAGGCACCTGAATAGAAGACAAAGATAAAATCAAATTAAGACTGTTTATTTGATACCTGCTTTTCCTTTGGTATTACTGGCCTTAGATTGAAAGGTCTTCTGGGCTACGTGTTGTCTTCATATGTTTTTAACAGTGTTTAACAGAGCAGAGCCTTTTCTATTTGGCACTTTAGGGAAATATTAAATTTAACGTGGAGAAAACTGCTTAGAACAAACATTTCAAGATTACAGTTCTAATAAGGCAGTAGAATTTTAGTAGATTTACAGTCCTTATGTATCCTTCCAGATGTGTTACATTGCTCCTTTCACTTCAGGTAGGATCCTGGTCAAGAACAAAAACCTTTCACAACTCCAAGCTTTTAAATTCAGTCTCTTGGGTAATTCAGCTAGCAGTGTCAAGACCCAAAGAGAACAGAAAACCTCTCTGGCATGTGAAAGCATAGGTATTTTTACCTTTTTTTTTTTATTTCTTTTTCCCCACCTCCTTTTTCTTGAATTTATTCATCTTTGAGATGCTGGCAGCAGCAGTCCACTTGATTCCTGATGGTACCACAGTGCCCAGGGAATAATACAGGTACAGACTTCTCATCTTCCCTCCTCTTCCCAGGCCATGAAAACAGGAAGAGTTTTTTGCATTCACTGAAACAACAGGTCTGAGGATACTTTTGCTTATTGTGCCAGGGGAGAAAAAGAAATCCTGTCATCAGTAAGGCCAGAAATAATAGTTACATCTATCAGATAGTTTGTGAGAGACTGCTTGCAGCAATCTCTGTTTTTTAGCTTTTAGTTAGAATCCTGGCTTTTAGTTTTCTCACTTTACTAGCCCTGACTAAAAGCTCCTGTACGTATCACGATGGGTTAATTCAGCCCTTCACATAAATACCTGTTATACATGCTGCTGCCATGTGCTCTCTTCTCAGATGTCCAGCACAGAATTAGGATAATCTTTGCCCACAACATAATTTTTTAACAATTTCCAGATAGCTGTTTCCCTGAGAGATGGGTGCTCTGCCTATACCCACCAACCTGAGTGATACTTGTCACCATTCCAGAGATTTCTTCTGTTTGTTGCCTTAAGCATTCTTTCTTGCCTACGCTGCAAAGTTTCATCAGCTCCAGAAATCATATCCCTTCTCAAGGGTTGCACCCTCCTGCACATTTCATAGCATAGCAACGTAACTCTATTGCCATGGATCCCAGACATGAGCATGCAGAATTTATCCAACTAATCAAGTGGTGCAAGAACACCAATTGCTGCTACAGTCGGCTTGGAGCATGGAATGGTTGCAGCTAAAAATATTCTACAAGCGGCTTTGCAGGGAGGCAAAACAAGGGGGTCTATTTTATTTATTTTGAATGGCCAGAGTAATCGGTATGGTCATAGTAAACTAGAAGGCAGAATTGTGCATTCATCCCTAAAGTGTATCCCACTGAGGTACCATACCTGCATGCAGTATTTGAGAGCTAGGAGTCTTTTCTTTACAGTATTGGCACGTGGTAAAATTTATTATCCAGCCTTTACTCAAAATGTGATTATTATGCACTGCCCCAAAACAGAATATACTGTAAAAGAAAGATGCAACTGATTGCTCTACGAAACCATGTGACTGGTGTCAGATGGAATCAGTGCCTCTTGGGCTGCCTTTTGCCACTTAGCATTTAATGAAAACTTATCAAACCTCAACAAGTAACTGGAACTCTCTACAAAGGCCATCTATAAAGCGAAGACACCAGTATTCTAGAATAAAACAAACCTGATAAAAAGCAAAGCGTCTTTTCATCCGAGGAAGAAATGTGTTTGTCTGTATTCCCTGACTTAAAGCACCTTTGGCTAGATGTTTGCGACTGTTTGTTGAGCACATTATGCAAAAGATACAATTAAAATACAAGGAGATTGGGTTTGTTTCTGCTTTCAGATGAATGTTGAAGCCCTGATACAAAACTTACTTGTTAAAAAGGTCCAAAATCTTGCACAGCAAAGTCAAGCCCACAGTGGGCAAATCTGCTTGGCAGTAACTTGCAGAAAGTGACTTCTTGCAGAAAAATCCCAAATGGGAAGGAAAGACACTTAAAACATTGCTTTGAAAAGTATAAAAGGATAATTCTCACCAAGATGAAATCACAAAAGCATTTCTCACAAGGAAAATTTTAGAAGAGAGTTGAGACCAGCTTGTAATGAACCTTGAATTGTAAGTGTAACTCTTCATCATAATAACAGTCTTCATCCAGCAGTGCTGCTTGGTCAGTAATGGGTTCTTTTGTTGTTGCAGATGGCTTTGAATTTCACGATGTTGCAATCGGAAAGCCTTGAGCGCTTCAGGATCAGTTCTAATATTTTCCTGTTGGTAAGTCATTTTGAAGTCAATATACAGTTTATGGTTATTTTCCAAACACTGATCCAAAACGAAAAGTCCAAGAAATCCCTTCCCATAATTCATGCTGATGCTAAGCATACACTTCTCCAGTTTTGGCAAAGTACATTGTGTACTCTGGTTGCGCGTTGAGTGTAATGCTTTCCCTGAGATCCTCCTGCTCCTTCCATCTCCTGAGGTATTTCTATTTGCTGTTATTTCTGTTTTGTGAGGGCCCTGACACTGTTGTATGTGTTCATGTTTGACTGGTTTATGTGAGCTGTGAATACTCAGCTACCACTGATCTGCATTACTGTGGTCTTGAAGGAAGACGGAGGTTAATAATTCAAAGGAGACAAATCTAGGCTTTTAAGTATGACATACATTGCATCCCTTTTCACAGTATCATGACTTTTTCCCCCAATTTATTTCATTTTCCTTGATCAATTCTTCATTCATGCCTTCTATTTCAGGTTCTCTCTATCTCATCTTTTAGTTACTCTATCTCTATCTCTCTATCTCATCAGTTACAATATCTTTTTCCTGATGTTTTATCTTGGATACTCAGCGTGGCTCTCCACAGCTGGCTGAGAGAAAAAAGCTGAAACTGCTCATTTGCCCTGACAAGTCTTCACTCCCTGTGTTTTCAATGATTGGCTGTGCTCTGTGCTTGACTTCAGCAGCAGCTAATAAGTAACTCCTGATCCAGCAAATCTTCCAAAGGTTGACAGATATCACTTGAGCTCCCATTTCAGAGGTAAGTGACAGCCCTTTAACCTGATTACAGTAAAGGGCAGCAGTACTGGGCTCGCTTGTGGTCCTCTACTGAACAGTTAAGTTACCGAGAAAGGGACAATATTCCTTTCTCAAGAGGAGCTAAGATTTGTTGTGCTTTAACTATGTATCATTTGGAATGCTCCAGCCTGTTTCCACCATAGTGCTTTTTTTTTTTTTTTTTCCACTGCTACATCTGCTCATCATTTTCTTAATTACCTTTTTTTTTTTTTTTTTTTTTTTTTAATATTGAAATCTATTACCCATGTAGCAACATATTTTACAGTAGTTTTCACTAAGACATTTGCAGGCTTTACTTCTGTCCAGTTAGCTTTTTTCACAACATTCCTCTAATTGCTATGGCCCATTTTGCCATAATGTCAGTCACTTTGTGGAGTATGCGACTGTAACTGTGACCACTGAGTAAAGCTGTTCCTTATCAACACAGAGTGATCCAGCACACCACTGTCAGTAGCACTGAACTTTCCTGTAATTCTGATGTTATTGCAAATTCCTCCCCAGCTGGCAGTAAGATGTTTTGTATGGCTATTTCTATGCTTGAATTCTCTGTTTTCTGGATTGTGAAATAATCCTCTGCATAATTCAAGAACCATATCATGATCCGTGTTTATCAGAATCTGTTACCCAACAGTCTGGACAATTAATGGCCTCTGTAAATACAACTCTGTGATTTCTTGCTGCTGGTGGTCCAAGAACTTTTAGTTCTTCTGCTAGTCAGCACTAGGACAGCATGTTACCGCTTTCTAAAAAACAAAGCATAAAAAGTGTATAAATCTCCCCTTGAGAATTGTCTTGGCTAGAAGAAATGGCATTTCTCCCTCATTCTCCATTGAATCTTTATGTGTATGTATGTTTTCATATATAAATGTCCATACTTGCATTTTTTCTGGTTAAAAAAAAAAAAAAAAAAAGACACGAGTGAATACAGTGAAATGAATCAAAATACAATTTCAAAGAAAAAGCACTGCTACAAAAACAAGACAGAGCTGACAGAGTCAACCCTTAAGTTGGGGGAAGAGTTAAGGAGTTCAGTAGTTAGAAAAATCCACAGTAGGAAAAACTTTGACTGTAACTTTTATGTATATTCAAATGTAGTCTTACAAGAGGGTTTTGAGACATTGGAACCAGATCAGCCCTGAGTAGTAATGTGCACACACTATGACATTGCATGGCAGCTGGACAACTGTTCCTTCCTCCTACATCACCATTCAGATCAGGACCTAGTCCTGAAAAGTTGTCCTAGCTTGTCATCTGTTTTTCTGCCTCTTCAGTTGCAGTGGAGAGAATTTGGACTGTTTGCACACGAAAAGGTTTTTACAAACCTTTAAGCTTTTAGTGCAAAATCACATTAATTTCCCTTGGGAAGGATCTGGATTTTGGCTTCTCACTGGGGGTTGTGTTCATTGTACTGCTGGTAGCTGCATACCAGAACTGCTGGTAGCTGCATACCACCAGACACTGATACATTTCTCTCTTTTCTATCTGCTAGTAGATAAAGTATCCATGACAAAATTTGGAGAATTTGGCATCACAAGAACAACACTCAGACTCCTGAGCAGCTGCCTGGGACCCTCACCACACATGCAGAAAAGCCCAGTAGATGTCTTGCTGATACCTGCTCTTAATGGCATTAGGGTCACTGTAGCCAAACTGTTGTTAGGTGCTAAAACTCCAGAAAAAAAAAAATAATCAGCTACATTTACAGTGATGCAGTAGAATTGCCAGGTCACAGCCTGAACCAATGCTTGAGAACCATTGGTGAGAAGGTGTGGCTAACCCAGGGAGCTCAGCTGCAAGCAATGCACCTGAGTGATGGAACAGGGTGGACTCTGAGTCTGCTCCTCCTCTCCCTCATTTAAGGGTTAGCAGCCAGATGAGCAATATATCTCCAGATAGAGATTGTGCTCTTCTTGATCACTGGCTGCTGGAAGGGTGAGCCAATTTTCTTTGTTAGCTGCTATTGTTCTGTAGTGCCTGTATCCCATTAGAAAGCACTGTCATTGCCTTCTTCTGCTGTGCAACTGGTAAACTGAAAAGGCCAATGCTCGGCACTGCTGTGCGGAGCTCTAACAACTGAATTGTGAACTGGCAGTTTTGGCACTATGACTTTTAGGACTCTCTTAAAAGTTATTTGGACACGGCTTGGAGGAAAACATGGAATATGGACCATTTCCCATAGACAGTTTTGTATGATCAGGCTTTACTGGAGGAAAAAGGTAATTTAGTTCTGTGATGTTAGTGTGCTACCTGTTTGGCCTCGAAACTGAAATGGCAAGGTCTGAAAAACAAAGAGAGAGGATCTGTGAACCAATAGAGGTGGACCTGTCCTAGGGCAAAACTCATTGCTGCATATGTGGCCTCAGGCTCTCTGGCTTTGGGGAAAGCATTTTTTTTTTTTTCATTTTATGTTTTCAACATGTTTAAGTATAAACGTAAATACATGCATAGCCCTGTGGCTTTTCAAATTGGGAAACTCCTTTCCAACACTCACTCATTACAACAGAGGGTATTTACATGCTCATGATTACTGTCTGCCCTTTATCCAAGGTCTTCTCATTCAAGCACTTCAAGAAGCACTTACATGGCCATTTCTTATGGTGTTTCTTGCTACGGTTCAGTAAAAAATAACTATCACCTTGTTCCCTCCTATTACTGGAAACTTATCTAACACAGCAGATGAGTTCTTTTGACCTCAGAGCGTCACTTGGCCTCATATGGATCTTTTTGAGTACCTTTCTCGTTGACACTGATACCTTATTTAGAGCCTGTGTGTGAAAATTCCCTCGTGCTGATATTAATAATACAATTCAGAGGCTATGCTGGTGCCATTTAGCCTGAACATCAGGCTTCTAATCTAAACTTGTGAGAATGTAAAACATTTTTTTTTTCAGTCAGTCCCAGGACTTTTTTTCCCCCATTTGGACTTTCCTGATTTGCTGTCAGAGGTACAAGATAGGCATTCACCAGTTCTTCAGTCTTTACAGAGGTAATTGTCAGATTGTATTTTTACACAAGGAGGTCGTCAAGTTACAGATGAGAACGGAACTGAATAACTGGTTTTCCCTTTCAAACATGTGTGGCCTCTTGTCTCTAGAGTGTTTGCTGTTTTAAAAATAAGAAGTATTTTTCCTGTTTTCATAGATCTTTCTTGCCTGCATACCCACGCTTCTTCCAAAATCATATGCTCAAAGCAGCCAAAACTGATTTTGGTAGGAATATAAGTTCAAAATCAAAGTGTACTCTGTAGATTCTGAGTATAGACTTATGAATTTACTCCAAGATATTAAAGGCAATCAGATATTTGGATTGAAATCTATCTAGAATAAAAATCATGCTGATCAGGAAGGGTCACGAGGCAGTCAAGGAACTAAATGCTTCACAACACTGTCTACAATAGTGCCCATCTACATCTAGCATCACTGGAATGTATGTATATGCTTACAGACTGAGAAACTCCTTGCTTCAGTAAGGGCCAGAAATGCTGACTTACTTGCTAAAGTGAAGGTGACTCATAACATTTACACAGAATAAGACCTGAAAGAGTCCATTTGAACAATTTGGGATTCTTTTTTAACTCCTCAGAAAGCCCTGTGGTACTGAGTCACAAGCTCTTGCACACGCTTCAACTTCCATGGTTTTTCAGAATCCTCCTCCACTGAAAGGGAAAGTTCACCTACCCTGGTTCAGAAAACACAAGCTTTTAAATAAACTTGTTGTTACAGGGTTGAGTTGAAAAAAATTAATGGTGAGTGTCTACCTATTTTTTTTGTTTGTTTGTTTGTTTGTTTTTGTTATTTTTGTAAGACTCTCATGCTGGTTTTGTATACTTTGAAGGTTTCTGTGTACTTGCAGTAAGGAGTAATCTTTGAAAGGGTTCAACTTCAAGAAAACTGCTCACCTTCATAAACTTCCTCTCGTGTCCAAGGTCTTTTGATCTTTTTGACTTCTATATGCTCAGTTGGTTGAAAGTATTTTGCTGTCCTAGGAAAATCCAGTGCTGCGTGATTGGTAGTAAAGAAAAATAAAATAATTAAAAAACACAAGCTGCTGTAAAAAAAAGTGTTCTTTGATATTCCCTAGAAATGTTCTTAAATGTATATTTTAGAAAAAAAAAAAAAAAAGGAAATGCTTCAAAGTTTTCAAATACTTTCAAAGTATTGTTTGTGCCTGTGTAAGATACATTTATTTACCTTTTAACCAAGTTACATAGGTGACTTTAATCCATTTTCCAAATAGAATATGAATGTATTGATTCTTCAATATCACAGAGAAGGAAGATCTAGAACAAGTTCTGAAGTCCTGAGGCCTAGAAAAATACAAGAATAATGAGCTTATAAGAATTAGTGATCAGAGTGTTCCACCAAAAAGACAGTGATTTAAATTACAGAAATTTTTGACACCAAGCTGGAAGCCCAAAATGTGAGTGATACTATAGCTGGATCAGTGAGGACAAAGGAAACAGCAATAAGACTGCATACAATGCCAGAACTGCTTATGGGGCAAAATGCATGAGCCAGGAGTTCTCATTTGCAGCCCACACACTGACACAGCATCACTTTTTTGTTCTCACATGTTCACAGTCAGTTACAAAGCCAACAGCAATTACATGGCAGCTAAAAATTAGTGTACTTCTTCTCAGCAAGGTGCTATGCATACTGCCTTGCGTATGTTTTAAAGCTAATCTTTCTTTTTTTCAGAACTTCTGTATACAGCAGATCTGATTTCTGATAGGTCCCCATTCTCTTAATGCCCACATAAAACTAATAACAAGAAGGATTTGTTATCAGAAATGTGATAGGCAGTATTGTTCACTGAATGAATGATAAATATCTGGAGCAAAATAAGAGTGTAGTTTTACAACAGTTTGTATTTTTGAGGAAGATGGACAAATGTATTTCCCACTGAATCCTTTGGTGCTCTGTGAAGTTTGCCTTTCTATACGAAGAATGGATCTATATCTATTTCCCACATGCTTCTAAGAATGATGTAACATCTGAAATCAATTTTTTAGTAACTATCTCATGAAGGCTATCACTGCTGACAAAAGAGGCAACTGCAAAGGAGAGAATTTTAAGGACAAATTTTTTGCAGTTGCATTGAGCTACAGGCTTTGAGGAAACAGTAAATCCCATGTAGTATAAAGTGATAAGACATTTAGCTTACCAGCAGAGTAGAAAATCATGGGCAGGAGTAAGCCGCTGCTGCATTTGATGGCTATTGAGAGGTGCCTCTACTTGTTGCCAAGTGTTTTTACCTTTTGTGTGTACAAGCCCTTTGGTTCTGCATGGGTGATTGAGGAAGAGGCTTCGGAAGCTGAAATCTGGCTTGCTGTCAGTGGAGCACTTTTGAAACTAAGCACTGAATCGGGAAGAGCGCAGCTTCTCTCCCACATTAGTTCCTCTTGCAGAGTGAGAGCAACCGCAATCAGTTTATTTCACAGCTCACAGGGGCATGTCTTCTGGCCTCAAATTTAATCAACAGAAAATCGTTTTTTTTTTCTTTATGAAAAGCTTGTTCCTGGTATTATAAATATTACACATGTATAATTGCTCAGCACTCAACTGAAGGACTGTTTTTGTTAGTATCCACAAAATTCAAGCTGTTTATTGAAGTCATCTCACTCATACTTGCTGGCCCCAATGCTTTCCAGTTCTAGCTGAAAGGTTTGCAAGGTGTCACTGTGTTGTCAGATCATGCCACCATTTTGCAAAACAGTTACCCAAAAGGGAAAACGCTGCTTTTGGGGCTGTTTTCTTCTGGTTCTACCAGCAGTAACAGCGTTGCAGAAACAAGTATCTAAAACCAGGGCTAATGGTAGAGCTGGGAAAGGCCAGGTCCCCACGGGCCACCTGCTCACCTGGTGGTCACAACTGTCACACAAGAAGCAATTACCTACTTTTTAAAACAAGTACACTTTATAAAACTCAGAAAAATCTCTCCCTGCTATACCAAAGCTAGAAAAGAAAAACAAAACTCAGCAAACAAAACAGAAGATGGAGCCAGAGAGCAACTTTTAAAGCAGAGTGCCAGGGAAGCTGTGGAACTGGTTTCAGCTCGCAAGCTTCGAACCAGACTGCAGAGGAGAATCTGCAGAAAACAACCAAGGCTCCGGTGTGATATGAGGGCATGGAAGCAGCTCCACGGTGTGTGAGCACACCAGTTCAAAACAGCGCAGTGCCCTTTCCCAGAGCTCCTCTGTCCTCTTCCAGCACAGGAACATGAAGGCCAGTCTTACAAGCAGGCAGGTAGGCCAGTTCCATTCCATCCAGAGCTGATGGAAGTCAACCTGCACCAACAAAAACAAACAAACAACCAAACAAAAACAGCAACCAAATCTAAGAGAGAAGCACGCTTCATTTACTGTTGCTGTATACCAAAATACACAGTAAGAGAAAATGACACTAAGATACAAAGATGAAGTATTAATTTGGTAGCAATTAAGTGTTTTTTTCACCTCGTTTTTCAGCCTGTGTTACTGGCAGATAGATTCTTACAGGAAAGTCCAAATATTCTAAGCATACCACAGCAGTACCTGCAAAAAAATACATACCTGACAAGAATCATTTTTAATTCTGTACTTTTCATTAATGTTGAAAAAGAAGTATACAAGCTTGCTTTTCATGGCTTCTAATTTAGCTGCAAGACATAATCTTGGAAATACTTTTTAATCCATGCGTTTTAGCTATAAAGCTATGACAGAAAATGGAAGGAAAAAAAACCTGCTAAGAAGTATTTGTAAGATTTCTTTTCTTGATTCTTTTTTCTTTTTTGGGGGGGAAACGCTTTTCTAAACTACCCTCAGTTTGATTCTGTCAGTAGTTATTAAAGTTACGAGTATAGCTATTCTAACTTGAAGTCTTTTTGTTCCTTAATTTGTGTAGTTGTAGGAAGACTGATTCTAAAATGCAAATCATTTTTGAATGGATTACGTGTGACAACTGTACATCTGGAAAACCACTCAGATCTTGGTAATTTCATCAATCTATTTTCCATCACTATGACCCTAGCCTGTCAGGTACAACACAGGAGTATGCTACAGGCTCCTGGCTTACTCTGAGATCTTCTTATTTTTTCACTGCTTTCCTTCCTACCCTCCACAGCTTTCAAGCATCACTTTTTGTTCTCTGAGCCATTCAATCTCTGCTTTGCATGGAAGACTATCTCAAGCGTATTTCCCTACCTGATCAGGGAGATTAGAGCATTGACCACAGATTTGGACACCACATAAAGTGATATACTAGACTTCAGGACACCATTAATTTTCTGTTATTCAAGTGCCTTTCTAGTCTTGCTGAGGAAGTCACCATTAAAGCTAATCTTTAATATAAGTCCTGAAAATTTTTGTCTTGACTGTCTGTACACCCACTGGAGCACCTCTTGCACTGTGGATTTGGCTTCTTTTTAACTGTTTTTTTTTCAGTGGGTATTTATTGCCAAAAAAACCCCAAATTTTTATGTAAAGCATAGATTTTGTTTCAGCATATTATTACTTGGCTTTCATCCAAATGCATGTAGTTGGTAGCAGCCCTTGAAACCCACATTCAACAGGTGCACCCCAACAACTGTGTGATAGCCACTAAGAAAAGTTTCTCCCTCACCTTTTTGGAAAAATGAGATTCAAACAAAAAGTGCATCTCGGATTGCTTACAGTGTTTTCCTCCAGAAGAACAATATCTTAAATCTTGAAGGAGAAGTGTTGTCTGAAAATGTTTAAAGATACAGGAGAGGCAAGGTAAATAGGAAAATGTAATACCTTAATAGGCAAATGACAAAAAAAAAATAAAAAAAATCAACAGCTAATTTGTAAGATGCATAGGAGTCATGGTGAACCTGCTTATTATGTCACTCTTATTATGTCTCTGCTTATTATGACACTCCTTTCCCCCTTACTCACTTCCTTAGGAGTCTGTTGGACAAAAAGCACTGTATGTCTCCCTGCAGTATGCTGCCTTCTGCATACAGTCAGCCCCCATTTATCTGCTAACAGTGCATAGTGCCAAGTCTTGAATACAAACAAACTGCAAAGGAGCAGCCCTTGCCAGATTTCTTCAGACTTCTGTTTTAAAAGACATTTTTAAGATATATGTCTATTCTGAAAATTATCCATTATATTAACATCTTCAAAAAATACCTCTCACATCTTATCAAGTAGCAAGGCAAGCATTTCTGGCTGTAGGTCCAGCCTAGAACTTCAGGTCATCCACAGTAGTAGCAGGGCTGCTCTGCATTTCTGCTTCGCTGGTAGTAGTTTCCCTTCTATGAATTGTGAGAAAGGCATGTTATCTAATGCTATCATACATCCTCTGGGAAATAGCTTGAGAGTGCAGATTCATTTCCTGCAAGCCATTATCTGTTGCCTACCAGACCTTTCCCCCCGCAGTACACTTGTGAACTCCACGTATTGCAGTCAAGCAGAGCTTCAGTGCCTCTCTGCTCCTGCAGGTACTGCTTCCTTGTTTAGCATAACACATTCAGTTTACTAAACGTTACCTGGAGCTTAGTTTTCAGTTCTCTTGACACAAAAAATATATCCCTATCCACTGAATTCATAAGATCCTCAGTTTTTACTACTGACAGTCAGGAGCAATGTTTTGTTGGCTTGAATTATTATTTTTTTTTTCGTTAGAGAACTGCCACTACTCACCTTATTGTGGGTGAATTTAATATTGCACTTTAGAGTGGCTCAAGCTGGAAGGGACCTACAAGATCATCCAGTTCCAGCCTCCTGCCATGGGCAGTGCCAGCCAGCAGCTCAGGCTGCCCAGGGCCCCATCCAACCTGGCCCTGAGTGCCTCCAGGGATGGGGCACCCCTGACTTCTCTGGGCAGCTGTGCCAGGGCCTCACCACCCTCTCAGTAAAGAATTTCTGCCTAACGTTTAACCTCTTTTAGTTTAAAGCCATTCCTTATTCTTATATCATTATCACACTGTGTAAAAATTGGCTCCCCTTCCTCATATGCTCCCGTGGATTGCTAGAAGGAAATAATGCTTTCCAGCTTTCCAGCCCAGAAGATCACTTCTATGATGCAAGACTACAGCTCAACACCTCACATCGTTTTCCAGAGTCATTGATGATCGAAGTTCCCCTTTGGTATATACCTTAAGTGCTTTTTTAAGCACAGAGCTTTGGACTCTCTTGGACCTCACCAAATCCAACGGGAAACACAAGTGTGCAGCAGCAGCTTGCTGAAATCCAACTGCTAGAGTCCCGTCGCGTTTCCCTTAGGGACGAACTCTGAAGGTGAATTTCTGCTTCCATCATACGAGAAGCCCTGCTTTCCTGCAGACCCTTTCACTGCGAATTCTCGCGTGCAACCCAGCCTTGCACTCACGGCCACCTCTGCCTGAGCGCATTTCAGCGCGCCCGTCTCCCACCCCGCGCAGGCGGACCCGTCCCCTGGGGGCGCTGCGAGACGGCGACGCCTCCGGCCGCCATCGCCCCTCGCCCCGCCTCCCGCTGCCGGCCCGACACGCCCCTCGGGGGCCCGGCTCGGGGGCGGTGCCGCCGCCGCGTTGGTTCCTGCTTCCCGGGCAGCCCGGGGGATGCGCGGTGCTGCCGGGCACCCGCACGTCTGTTTTCCCGCAGCGGTGGTGCCCATGGCGGCGGAGCCGCAGCCCAAAGCTCTGACCCGCAAGCCCCTCCTGCTCAACAAAGTGGAGGGCTCGCAGGAGGTGGTGAACATGGCAGCGATCGTGCCCAAGGAGGACGGGGTCATCAGCGTCTCCGAGGACAGGTAGCGGGCGGGCGGGCTGCGGCGGGGGCTCTGGCCGCAGTGAGGCGGCTGCAGGCGCGGCGCGGGGATCGCTGCTTGACCTTGCCCCGCGACTGGGCTGAAACAGCGCTTCCAGTTCCCCTTTCCCTGCTCCGTGTTTCTCTGTAGTTGTTTAAAATACCGTATCTCGTTGATAAGATCTGCAGTTCAGTTGCAAGGAGCGCTGTTCCGGGCCCCTCAGCCGTGCGCTGCGGGGTGAGCGTGTCCGAGGCTGCTCGTCCTCTCCTGAGCCGAGGCTGAATTCAGCCTTCAGCGGTGTCAGCGCTGAACTCACGAGGTGCCGGCCTTCAAAGCACGAGCTTATTTTTCTTACAGAGTCCACAAATAAGTATTTTAACTGGAATTTCGTTACAGCTCAGGTGCTTGTAACTGTGTCCCCAGCTGTCTGCTTGAAATGCCAATGCTGGCCGATGTGTTGTCATTCCCAAGGGTCATCTTGGATTGTTCATCTCTGCCTGTTATTCTGCAGAGTGACTGCTGTTATTTCTCTGTTAGCTTTCCCAAAATCTGTCAGTATCTCTTATCTTGTCAGTGTCCTCTCTGTGCATTAATTTCCAGCCAGTTGTCAGATACGTGAACCATGCCAATTTGAGATGGCTTAAGTTCATCCAAGCTATGGTTTCCAAGTGAGCTGCCATGCCTCATAGCAAGGGGTGAAGAGTTGCTTCAAGCAAGTGCTCTGCGAAGGGGAGTTGATGCAGAGTTTTACAGCACTACATGGCCACAATTCTATTTTCTTTATACGTTTTACATATTTGTTGTGAAGCTGAACAGTGCTTACTCAGCCAAATTGTTTTATTTGTAAGAAAGTGTTCATAAAATTAATTTGCTCTTGTTTGGGTCTCTCACTCAATCTTTCCCCCTACCTTAATATCTAGTTTGTGTTATTTTAGCAGCTATAGTTTGTGGAGAACAGCTTGGTGTTCCAAGTCGGTGTTTCTTTGTAGAGGCAAGGTTTAGTGAGAGGTCTGTACTTCATGAATACCAGAGATGTCAGGTTCAGGAAAGCAGCGGGGAAGCAGAACCTGGGGGTTTCTCTCTCCAAACCGGCTGGTTCAGTGAGAACATCCCTCTCTCCCTCCCACCTCCAACCCCTAGCGAAGGCCAGCTGAGTCCTGTTAGCTGCTGAAACCTGCAAAGAACTCTGCTGCTGAATGTGCTGCCAGATGCTTGGCTGGGGTTTTGCTGGTGGTACGGGGTAACTCCATCAAAGCAAGAGGTACGGTGTTGCGTCTGGAGGCTCACAGGTTGTTTGGTTTAGATGAACTACCAAGGTAAAGTGCTTGCTTGTGGGGCTGGGTTGTGGTATCTTTGAGGTGCTACAAGCTGTGATCATGCCTTTTCTTTCTTTAGGTATGCAGATGTTCATCGATGGCTCTTTCTTTCATTTCCCATCCATGTTAGCATTTTTACTGTAGTTAGAAGATTCAGAGATTAGAACTGTGGAAGGAAGAGCAGTTTGGGAATCCCACGTGGAGGCTTCAGGGTACCTAGGGCTGGAGCACAATTTACCAGGCTCTCAACATCACTGCTTTTGCAGATTCTTCCTGTTTGGACCTGTCTGCTGGTGTTAGCATTAAGGCTGTTGTTTCATGGCCTTGGAATGTGGAGGGCTTTGAGAGATTCCTGGAAACTGCAAAGGCCAGTTGTGGAGATGTTATCTGTCTCTTAGGGAAGTAAGTGAGTTTTGGCTGAGCTCACCAGCTTGTGATATGTATTGGTTGTATGAGAGAGATGCTCTGAAACTTTTGCCGAGGAGTAACTGGAGGGATGGACTGTTACTGGTGCTGGTTTGGGCTGGGGAGCACAGTGGAGACAGTTCTCCCCTGTTCAGTAGCTAGTGCCTGGATACATCGATGCTGAAGTTGGGCTTCAACATACACATCAGCTAGACACTGCTTTAAGGAGTTCCTTAGTGTATCTTACAGTTCTATAACTGTAAATCCTTCAAAGCAGGAGCTTGGCTGCCAGTCTGTATTTTGTGTGGTACCAGTGGTTTTATCTGGTTTTTAAAGACTGCGGAAGTGGTTTCAGCTATAGCTTGCAGACATAGCTGTACATGATATAGCCTTGAATTGCTTGTGTTCGTAACACACGTTTTCAGGAATAAAATGAAAACTAAGTAATAATGCAGAGTATGGAGGTTCTTCAAAGAGAAAGGCATAGATGGGGAAACAGGTAACCTCAAGGGGAGTTGATTAAGACTGTCTGAACTTGACATAATCTGTGGAGTTAATTTCTTTTCAGTGTGCATCATCTGTGTTTGTATTTTCTCTTCTGACTCCTTGTTGGAGTCACATGAGTTACACAGCGTGCATTGCCTTCTGATCTTACTTGCTACTGCTCATTCCTTACTAGGGCAAAGTAGGTTGGGTCTGTATCTCTATACAAGACAGCTACATTGGAATAATACATAATTTTATTTTGCAAGAGAATGCACCTGTCTAGGAAGGCGAAAGTTAAATGAGCAGCAGCATTCGTTATCCAGGAATGTATATATCTGATGCAGGTGAGCTACAAGGAGTAGCTCATCTGTGCTCTTTTCCTTATCAGCAAATGGGTGGAATTAACAGACACATACGTCCAAACAGACACATACATCTTGAGGGACTCGTAGTACTGAGTGCCCTCAGTTCTCCACGTGGATCTAAATGGGATTCTCCTAATGTGCACAGCTGGCCCGAGGCTGTCACCAGCTTCCTCTGTTAAAAGCATGCTCTCCCATTTCAAAACTGGTGTGCATGTCCTTGTCTTTTGTTGACTTCATAGGGAGCTGTGGGTGTTGGGCACTTCTGCAAAGTAGGTCACTGGCATGTCAAGTTGGGACACATCTCCTTCGTGCTTTGGAGATTTAGTATCACTAATCTCACCTGAGCATGGGGATGGGGCGGGAGAAGCATCCTGACTCACCCAGTTCTCGCTGCCAACAAGGGCTTGGCACTGGCATGCTTCTGTGACTCCTTGAGCCTGCCAGGGATGTGAGTGTTAATTCAGCTGAGTGTTGGCGTGCTGATGCAGTGCTGCCGTGGTAGGAGGCCACCAGCTTTCTTTTTGTGGTACTACCAGCTGTATTGGAAGGGAGAAAAGCTTAGAAGTGTGCTGAAGCAGACAGCTTTCCTGATAAATATGAACTCTGGTCTGCGCCCTCTTAGGTGTGCTAACTTCCATGCTACAGACCTTGAACACATCAGTGTTGCAGGCAATGGCGTGCGGAAGTTGTTTTCCTTAAAGTATTCATGGGAAGTAAAAGTTCCCATAGTTCACAGTAGAAAGTTATTGAAACACCTCAAGTTTATTCTCAAAAACAAGCGCTCTAGTCTTCTAGAAGGAGTAAACTATATGCCCTAAGAAATAGTTCTGTATTTTTTAAATAAGGGAACAGAAATCTCTGCCTTTTCCACTTTCTTCTGTCATCTGAAGTCCTTTTGTTCTCAGATGTCTCGGCTTTGTATGGTTCCATGTTTGAACGTAAGTAGCAGTGAGCCCCAGCTGTTCATGTACATTCATATTCATGTCTTTGTCTCACATGGAGAAAACTGTACAGAATTCTGTGCCTTGGTTTGTTTTGCAAGTTGGGGTTTTTAAATGCAGACTTTGTTTTTTGAGGCTTGTCTTCTGGGCGTGTTAATCGACAGGGTTTTTAAGGGGGACAAAAGCAAGTGAGTCTTCTGTAGCTGAAGTCTGGACTTTGATAAACTAGTGCACTGGGGATGGGAATATGCATACATGACAAAAATCATGGAAGTTGGCTTTTGCTCTGCTGGCAGTCATTCTAACAGGGTGAAGTGTGCTCTTTCCACTCTGAAATACCTCAAAAGCAGTCTTTTGTTCCTTGTTATTCTTTTCTTGTCAGGATCCAGGGCAAGCATTGTAGTTCATTCTCAAGTGAGATGGATCATCACTCTGTCCTGCAGCTGGGCAAGATGTGACGAACCACACGCTCCCAAAAACTTTCTGGATTTCTCCTCTGTGCTGGAGTGATGCAGAGCAATTGCTTCATAGAGCAGTGGTTGCGACATGGGTTTGTAATTCTCATCTAAACACAGAGTTATTCCACTGAAAGCTGTTCTGCTTTTTGGCTGTTGGCTTGCAGTAAAAGTGCAGGTGGTACGAGAACAGATTTCGGTGGTGGCTGTTTGTGCATTGATCAGTCTAAGCCTGTAATTTCACACCCAGGTTACTGCAGTATGAGTAGCAGTGCAGAAGGTGTGGGTGCTCTTTAAAAGTGTAAGAAGACTCATCTCTGCTGGAGGTTCTTTAAATTTTGATTAAGAACATCAGTTGCTTATGGAATTATTGAGAGGAAATGGAGGAACCCCTCATAAACAACATAAAGATTTGAGGCCTGTTGTTGCAGATGCAACTTGTTTGCTCAGGGTTTATGTTTCTCTTTTCCAACGATTTGGATGTGTTGCAAGTGGATGACTGTGTTTGGAACCAAGCTCGGGGTGGAGGATAGTGCTGGCTGCTCAAGTGAAAGAAGTGGATTGTTAGCAAGAGTCTTGAGAGAAGGCCCAGAAGCCTCACGGAATCAGAAATTGTTCCAGATGTTGAAAAGCGACTGTTCCTGATTTCACTAACATGCATCTTGTTCAGATGCCAAAATGCTGGGGCTGGTACATAAAATGTTTCGCTGAGTCCTTGCTGGAATGATGTACCTTCCTCAGCAGTTTGTGGGGTACTGAGTGATTTTGCTTTGTGCCATCAAGAGATGATTTACTGAAGGCTGACAAAGCCTGTGTTTACCTTGCCTTCTGGTACTCTCCACTGAGCACTTAGTGTCACTTAAAGATTTAAAGCACAAGGACTCAGACTTGTCTCTCTGATTTTTCACTCTCTTGCTACTGCTGGCTCATGTAGGTCAATGCACAAATGGATGCAGCTCCTGCAGCTGTATTAAGTTCATGTCTTAACTGCAAGGTGGCAGCTGCAAAAATGTGATATGACAGCGTGGCTTGGAC